TGATGCACACTTTGGCTCTTAATATCTCTTCCTCTGTAGGACAACAGATGTGCCACCCCTGACACCTTCTCTGTGTGGAATGGATGAAGGAACAAGCTATATGGATGACATGCGCTATGGCTTTGAGAAGATTGCTGAACCTAAAGTAAATGTCTAAAGCAATATGGGTGTATCACATCACTGGAAACCTGTGTGAGACTCACCATCACCTAGGGACCTACTTCAGAGTCATTGTCAGGATCAACAAGATGCCAAAAACAAACCTATTTCAGTCTGATTCTGGTGACTTGTTACTTTGATGAAGCCTAGCGTATCATAGAGACTGTTCACGGTTGAGAGAACCCCTCTGCGAGTGAACGGCTTCTGCTCATCTTCAATCGGAAACATGAAGGTGTCTGTGTTCATGCTCCAGCACAATCCAAGGCTACATTGAATGGGAAGATCATCCACAAAGAGCTCTATACTACTGACATCCTTGGAACGATCTTTCAATGGAAATGCTTCAATAACTGCAGGCTTGTTAGATGCAATTTTATGCAGCCTTAGATTAGAGGCTGCAAGCATCTTTTCTTCTTGTCTGAGGATGCTGATGGCTTCTTCTTCAGTACTGAAGGACTTTAAAGCATCATCAACATAAAACTCCGGTCGATGAATCTTCTCACGTCACTGCCATAATCAGCCTCTGCTTCCTTAGCTGCCCGTCGCAACCCATAAATAGCAACTGCGGGGGAGGGACTGTTCCCAAAAAGATGAACTCGCATTCTGTAGTCTATGAGGTCTGAAGTAGGGTCATTGCTCCTGTGCCATAGAAACCGGAGGAAATTCCTGTGGTCCTCCTTCACAACGAAGCAGTGGAACATGTGCTCTCTGTCAGCAGTGATGGCCACCTGTTCCTTCCTGCACCTCATGAGAACACCTAACAGGCTGTTGTTAAGGTCAGGGTTAGTGAGCAAAACATTGTTTAATGACACCCCTTCATGTGATGCACTACTGTCAAAGACCACACGGAATTTATCTGGTGTCCTGGGATGGTATAGGCCAAACAAAGGCAAGTACCAACATTCCTGTCCAGGTTGCATTGGTTGGGCAACTTCTGCATGTTCTTTATTGAACATTTTCTCCATAAACTCAAAGAAATCAGCTTTCATCTGTGGCCGCTTTTCCAATGAGTGTTGGAGAGGTGAGAGACAATCAAAAGCCTGCTTTCTGTTGTTTGGTAGCTGCTGTCTTGGGGACCGAAAAGGTAATGGGGCTACCCAGCTTTTAGAATTGTCCTGATAGCACTCAGCCTCCATTATTTTCAAAAACTCTAGATCTTCCATAGATGGAGCAAGTTTCTGGTCATTGGGTATACAAACAATAAGAAGAGAGTTTGCCTCAAACTGTGTCCAGTAAATATTTTTGGGCTGTATGTAGAGGTTGGTGGCAAATGATGGTGATGTTTACGGGTTTGACCAAATATCTCTTTTACTCTGATTACTCTATTTGTGCATGGCTGGAGATAACTGGTGTGACCATTTTCTAGGACAGCTGTTTTGTAACTTCTTACCTCTAATGGTCTGTGAGCTCCTCCAAGGCACACGTCACCAATAACAACCCAACCTAGGTCGAGCCTCTGAGCGAACGGAGTGAATCCTGGGCCACTTATTTGCTCACAAACCTTGTTTACCTGTAAGATATCTCTGCCCAGTAGTAGGAGAATCTTGGCGAATGGATCTAGAGGTGGTATCTTCTCTGCGATGCTTTTCAGGTGAGCATGATGGTAGGCTGCATCTGGTGTAGGAATCTCAGTGTGAAAATTAGGAATTTGGTTACATTCAAGAAGTGTTGGCAGAGGAATGCACAAGCTCTTATCTACTGGCTCCACAGTGTAGCCGCTGGCTCTCCTCCCCGCTGTCTCTGTACTGTCTTTACCTCCTGGCCATCCACTCTGTCCTCCTCCCGGCCATACTCTGAAGTGGGAGGTGACAGCATGGACTTCCAGGCAGGTGGATTGGGATGTAATGCGGAGACATGAGCAGTGCTCCCACACTCTGAGCATTTTACATCAACAGTGCAGTTCTTTGCAAGATGTTCTGTGGAAGAGCAACAGCGGAAGCAGATGAAGTGTTCTTTCAAAAGCTGTTTACGATCACCCATGCTCTTTCTAGGAAGCCTCTGCATTTCCTCAAAGGATGGGGTTTATTGTGCAGCGGGCAATATTTGTTTGGATCAACCCGTTCTCTTGCTTCCTTACACTCCAACTTAGGAGCTCAGTAAACCTGTGTCTTTTGAACATACACAGATGTTTTAACAGGCCTCTCCCACTTACTCTTCCTGTCTGGCAGACCATGTATTGAGAGGTTAAACTTGGGTCTGTACGAGCCTTCGCTACTGTACAGATAAAGTCTACTAACACTGAGAAAGCTGGAAAACTGACAATATGTTTTCGTTTATATTTGCTCCCGTGGTACAACCATTTTTCTTCTAGGTTGTACGGTAGTGTCTCAATATCAGGCCTAGTTCCTCTAGAAGTATCCAAATAGGATAAACCTGCGAGATAACCATCTTCCTTGGCTGCTTGTTGCTCTGGTAACAGATCTGCCAGATCTCTGTGGTTCCTTTGTTGTAACCTTTGGAAAGTTTTCCAGTTTACTAAACAGAGCTTGTTCAACAGCCTCTGGTGAGCCAAATGTTTCACCAAGGCAATCCTATGCCATGCACAGCCCTATAGCAGGATCTCTAATATTGACTGATATTATTCTTTTCACCTGCTCTGCTGACTCCTTTCCTAGATGTTTAACTAAGAGGTCAAATTCTTCTGTAACAGACAGTGCCAGATTAGCAATAGCATTTTGGAATGATACTTTCCAGGCCCAATAGTTCATTGGCTGGTCATCATATGTGGTGAGTCCTGAAGTCACCAGTTGATTGCGGGCAAGATACTTAATGAGGTCTCCACTGGTTGTAGGATGATCATGGCTAGCTCTGTATGCCATCTTGTCTGCAAGGGGGTTCACAGAAGATGAAAAATCATGTCTAATATTCTGTTGTGGAAGGGTTCCATCACTCTGATTAGCTGAAGACAAGTTGTGATGTGATGGTGCTCTGCTCGTCTGACTATCCTGAGATGCATGGTGCGGCATAATGACATCAGCATCAGTTGCTTGATTTTGGTAATGGGTTAATGCTCTCCATTGCAGCAGCTGAACCCATACTGTGCAGGCTGGTTTGTTCTGATACATAGACTGTGGTGCGCTCATCTTTGATAGCTTGGGGAACTGGACTTTTAGCTTCGCTGTGAACTTCAAACTCCATATCCTGTAAACCAGCTAAGAGAGTATTTACTTCCGCTATGGGAGCATCTTTTTCCTTTTCTTCTTTAAGTGCATGGAGATTCGCTTGGATACGTGCCTGCTCCACCTTAAGCTCTTGCTTGTGCTGCTTCAGCCTTTTGCCTTTGCTCTTGCAATGGCTATGCTAATCCTTGAAGGAGATGATGCACCAGACAAGCGGCTGCTCCTGGAGTGGTCAGACTCACACCGATTATCTTCAATTTCTTCAACATTGCTGCGTTGTGACATGATAGCTCAATGTGTTTCTAGCATCAGGAGAAGGAAGCTAACATGAAGCTTTCTAGAAGCTGTAATATTAGCCACGTATCTCTTGAAGCTGAATTACTCTGTATGATGGCAATTCTTGTGTCCCAGAAAGGCTGAAGACTGAAGTAATCCTGCTCCTCTCTCCAAAGACTGAGTCTGATCATCTTCTCCTTTCACTGTTATGACCCACATGTCCATCCAGTTAAACAGTCTCAAAAAACTCCAGGAATCAG